GACATTCGGTACGACCCTTTCAGAGCTTCAGCGAGTCCTCTCCTGCGCAGTTTGAGCTTCTAGACTCAAATCCAGTAGCAAGCCGGCCTTCTGGGCAGTTTGACGAGGTGGGTCAGCCGCACAGTCAGGCTGCCCTTCAAACACGCCCACCGTGCTTTCAGCCCCTAAGATTTTAAAAAAAATAAGTAATTGACTCTTATCAAGATAAGAGATCAGGAGACGCCTCCAGATGTTATTTCCTGTAAGCTGGTTTTGAGGAGATAAGCTTGGTCTCCACGCCCCCTTCCGGCCCCCGGGCAGGCCCCCCAGCTCAGTCGGAGCGGACGTGAACAGGGCGTCCTAGGCTGGTGCACGCAGGCCGGGTGGCCTCCCGGTCCGCAGGGCAAGGGTAAGATTCCCCAGGAGGCAGATGCTGCGAGGCTGGTCCGAGGAGTCCGGCCTCAGCCACCTGGCACCCAGCAAGGACTCCTCGGCAGCGCCTCTGGGTCCCCGAGAACGAAGGCTTGTGTGCGTGGAGTCAGCCTTGGACCTTTTTCCGAGGCGCTCGTGACAGTATCGCCAAGGGGACCGATGCACCACGGGTCGACCGGTCTCAGCCCCCGAAGTGCAGCAACAGGCACTTGAGGGTGGACATCCGTCCGACTAGGAGAAACCGTCCCTTTTCAGATGTCTCTCTCCATATGACATTCGATCAGACCCTCGTCTCTGTTTTCAAGAGAGGGGAGCGCGACCGCACATGGAGGAGGCACCTGGACGTAGTCTTACCAGTCCTTAGTGGATGATACAAGGTCAGTCAGCGGGTTTAACAGTTCCCGTTGCTCCCGCCCTGCCTCAGGACAGGGGTTTGGTGAACGGGAGAAAACAACACCGTGGGAGGTCGTGTGTCTTGCTGAGGGACCAACCAGGGGCAGGCGAGGGGCAAGGGGGTCCGTTGTCACGTTCTTGTGATGGGCGCCAGCGCAACATCAGATCTCGTTTTCGGGACTGTGTGTTTCAGTGCATAGACACGGAGTTATGTTTTGATATCGGGGGTCTATGTCCTGACCTCCACGAGGGTGTGCCAGTGGAGCTCCTGCAGAGGTCCCAGCGGGATGCTTCGTTCGGTGGGAAGTAGTTCAGAGGAGCCCTGGGCACACAGGGCATTGCGGGCGGTTTGGGCTCAAAGGGCTCTTCGATGTCTTAGATCTGCCGAAGCAACACAGACCCAGTTCGCTCCTACCTGAGAAGGGCCGGTTCCCTGAATTCGGAAATCCAGAACTTGGTGAATGGTCCTGATTTTTTTTTTTTTTCTTCAGCTTTTGCTTGGATGCTGCAAAACTTAGACACCGCTTAAAGCATTTTGTCGTGATTTTCCCATTGCCATTCTTAAATGTCTTTTTAGGCCCGATTTCTCCAGCCAGGCTGGTGACATTCCCTACACCAAATTATTTCCCCTTGGTGTTACTTAAACCCCAAGGCAAATGCAAGGTCATGGATCGGGCACAAATGTTTTGGGGGTTTTTTTGGGTTTTTTTTTTTTGTTTGTTTTGTTTTTTGTTTTTGTCTCGTATACATCCACGAGGCAGCAAGCTTAGCTCTAAGACCGATTGTTCCCCGTGTGTGCGTTCTCAGAGTATTTTCACCAAAAGCACCTTTGGAGGGGAAGCGATATTCGATATTCGAGGCGAGTGTTTTATGTCACAGAACTTTGCATCTCCAAGCATAGGAACTTAAAATAGACTTGGTGCTATTGTCCTGGTAACTGCCAGGAAGCCAGGAGGGCGGTGAGGGTCTGGTGTGCTTCCCCGCGGCTGCCTGCCGAGCACTTCAGCGCGGCGGACCTGTGCCTGCCTTCTGGGGGGTTTCCATGGAAACCCAGTCAATCTCTTCTGCCATTTCAAAACCCAAGCTGTGCGGCACATGCTACTGTCTGATTTTATCCACGGGGGATTTTGATTATCCCACATGGGCCTCCCTTCATGGAAGAGATGTGCTCTTAGATGGGTAGTTGGAAATCGAATTTTTGTAAATCGATTTTACACCGCCCCATTATCAAGGGTCCTGGAGCTGGCTCCATCTGAGAAGCAAAGACCCCTTTTGTTAGGTGAATAATCACTCCCTCATTCACCGACTTCAGAAAATTGTATTTTTGAGTATTGAGATTTCTTAAGGCTAGGAAATCTGTATGTAAATCTAAGAGTTTAAAAAAGCCTGAAAGTCTTGAGCAGCAACAGAAAAATGAATACACGGAGGAGCGGAGAGAAGAAAGAAACCCTTCCAGGCTGCCTTATGTGGTCCGGAAGCACCACCTAAAGATAAAAGAGCCGAATTACCACCCCGGACACAACCCCGAGCTGCGGGTGTCGGGTGTCGGGGGAAGGAGACAAAGAGAGGCGGTGGGCTCCTCGGGGCTGCCCAACCCCCCCTCCCCGTCCCCTCGTGGCCCCGGGCTGCCCCGCTGTGCTGTGCGGGAGCCCACGGGGGTGAAGGCAGGGGAGGCTCCCTGGAGGAGGCGCGCGGGGGCGCAGGAGCCAGGGCAGGCCCGCGGTGCAGGTGCAGCTGCGCAGGTGAGGCGGGCGAGGGGCCCACTCAGGTCACGCAGCCGCGGGGCGGGAGGCGGGCCCGGAACTCCCCCCGACTGCCTGACTCAGAGCTTTGGGAAGAGCAGACCTCTTAAGAAAGCAAGAACTCTTTCTGGAAGTGTCTTTTTTTTTTTTTCTTCTTTCCCGGCACAGTGGAAGCTCTGAAAATGAGCCAAATCAATATTTTGTTTGTTGTTTTCATGGTGATAGAGGCCATTTTAAACACCTCTTTTTTTTTTTTTTTAAATCAGATGATGCCTTTGTAAATGGCTTGAATGCACAAAATCTCTGGAAAATCTTACTCTCTCTCTCTCTCTCTGTCTCTCTCTCTTTTTTTTGTAATTAGTCAAATCTGATTTTCATTTGCATTAGTTTGGTTATAATGCCTCACTTCAAATCTGAACAGAATATGTCAACCTCCTACAGCCCTCACCAAAAAAAGGCATATTGAAGAATCTCTACTCATGTTAAAATGAATAAATTTTAAATAAATTTGCACTGAGTGGTTAAATTAGGAAGAGTTTAAGGATTTTTTTTTTTTAAAGCAAAAAGCAAGGCCAAGTGTGTATTATTGGCTAGTAGGAAACATTTCTGTTTCTTGATTCATTTTCCAAACAGAAACTTGCATGAAGATCAGCCTCTCTTAGATAGAATGATTTTTACTGCTCGCAAGTCGCCCTCCTCCTCCAGCTCTGGGGGGGGGGGGGGGGCGGGTCCACACGCCCCGGTGGAGGGGGGATGGGGGAGCTGAGGGAAATCAGCCCCGGAGGCCTGAGGCCAGGTCACTTCACCTGTTATTTAGGAAACAATCACTGAGTGATCTCAGCGCAAGAGTCTTGTGATGCAAGATTAATTGTACCTAAGTTGCTGTTACTTTAGCAGAAATCAGGTCAACAACCCGGGTTGTCCCTGTTCTTGATATGCAGATTCCATCTAAACGCCCCGTTGTTCCACCCAAACGCTTATTTTAAAACTCCCGGGCTCCCCCTGCCCCCCACCGTGCAGGCCGGTGACCTCCCCTTCCCGCCCTCCCCGCCTGGGCCTCCAGGGAACTTGAGCCTGCACCCCGACCCAGAGATAGCACCTCCCGAACCTTGAGACCTGGTGCCCTGGGCCCTTTTTGGGACTAAAGGAAACGTGGGCAGCTTCCGACTCCTAGGAACTGTCCACACGTGTGCGTGTCAGCACGGGGCACCCCAGGCCCGCCTCTGTCCGGTGCCGCGGGGCACAGGGGCTGCGCGGGGTCCCGCTCCTGACCTTGAGGAACTCCCGTCTGGCCCGGCTCAGCATCCGGCCCCGACGGTGGCTCTCTGAGAGGAAAGCCCCAAAACGCCTCAGACGCAGTCCACGTTCAGTAAACCCTTGAAATGTGTGATGTCCGCCCTTGCAGGGAAGGCAGGTGCTCCCCGAGCAGGGAGGAGCGCACAGGGCGTGACCCGGGCTGCTCCTAGGGGTCAGGTGGCTCACAAAGTGCCTCATCCTTGGGGTTAGGTTGGGTGTTTTGGGGGTAGCTTTTTTTTTTTTCTTTGAGATCTACACACTTGATGGAGAAAAAGAACTTTTCTTAGTTTTTGTCCTCGATTTCTACATTCCTGGTGGGTACGAGGCAAACTAAAGTAGGGCGGACTGAAGTGTCTCTGCAGCGCCCCCGGGATGGGTCTTGGGAAGGCTCGTGTAGGAGGTTGTAGGAAGGGGCAGTAATCATTTGTAAGGCACATTCCGTCCCCCCAGGGCAGTGGCAGTGGGGTAGTTAAGAAGTCAGGCAGTGTAGGCGTCGAGGACTCCCAGGACCTGGTCGACCAAGACGCCTGGGCTCCACTCAGGCCAGTGAAACAGGGTTCTAAGGCCCTGGAGCCCCCCGCCGCGCCCAGTGCTTGTCCGCAGGACGGCCCGGCCAGTCCCCAGCACTCCGCTCGGGGCCGCTGCCCTCCTGGGGTCGCGGGGTGGCCAGTCAGCCCCGCTGACCAAGAGTCCGCCTAATGGGAGCCCGCCATAAGGCTGGCGTGGGCCGTGTAGACGAGGATCTTGCACATCCTTTCCCCTGCGAGTCTTGCTGCGCACACGGCGGCTGCAGCCGAGTCCCACGGGGACCACAGTGACAAGGGGAGGTGGCAGGAGGTATTTGGAGGGATAGACTCTGGAGTAATAGCGTCGGGCCCAGGATGCTCCCGGGACTGTTGCAGCCCAGGCAGGTACTGAAATCCGTGATCCTTCTGGGAAGCGCCGTTGTGCGCGGAAGGAAGAAGGGAGCCAAGGTTGGTATCCGGTGGTCGGTCGGGCACGCGCCCCGCGCCCAGCAGGGAGCCCGCGGCTCCACGGCTCTTTCACTTGGGAGGCGAAGCCTCAGAGCCATTGCTTTCTGGATAAGTGAGGGACTTAGTTGCTCCGGGGATCGTATTTCCTTCCAGTAAATCACCCATTCTGCATTTTGCATTGCAGGTGCCCCACCCCTGGCTGCGACGGCTCCGGGCACATCACCGGGAACTACGCGTCTCACCGAAGGTAAGCGAGGCGCCTGCCCACTCGCGCTCGTGCCCCCTTCCCGCCCGCACGGCGGGACCCGCGGCTACGAGGGTCTAGAGCCGGGACCACCAGGCAGCACCGTCGTCACGGCGTCCGTCCCGGGACGCCAAGGGCCCTCGCCTGCCGGGCAGCCGGCCCACCGGTGAGAAGGTGCTCAGGTCGCCCAGCGGCAGCTGTGCCCCCTCGATGATCAGGGAAAAGCAGCCGACAGACGTGTTGTGAGGCCCGGGGCGGCCCGGGGAGCGGCGCCCCGACATCCTGGGAGCGGGCCTCTGAACACCGTGATCCGAGCCGCGGCTGCCCAGCCCCTGGGAGCGAGGAGCTGAGCTGAAGGCGCGGGGACGCTCGACGGAGCTCAGCACCGGCCCCGGGCTCCAGGACAACACGGTCCACGGCGCAGCCCCAGATCCTGCCACTCCCCCGCCCCGTGCCCGCCGCATTCAGAAGGGAACTGAGAGAAACTGTGGGAACGTCGTCTCCACGGAAGTGGATCGGGACCTGCGGCCAGGGGCACACACGTCCCGTCCTGTCGGGTTCGCAGCGACAAGCCAGCGCCGAGGCAGGGACAGGGCGTGCGAGGCAGGGACGGGGCGTGCGTGAGGACCCGTCCGACAGCGAGTGGCACCGGGTCGGCACAGGTGGCGACTGGGTTAGGGGAGGCCGCCGCCCGCCCGGCCGGTCTCGGAATCTCTGATTGTGAAGCGACGGTCCCGAAGCCCACGAGCACCTGCGCTTTAAGTGCGTCTCCCACGCGGAGGAAAAAAGAAGCAGAGGGAGGGGGGGAAGGGGAGAGACGGGAGGGGAGGGCAGGGGAGGCCCCTCAGAGACAGCGTCCGCCCGGGGCCGCCCACTAGAGGGAGGGTGTTTGCCCGAGGACCCCGATGAGGGGAGCAGGGGATGGGGTGGACGTGGGACCACCTGCGGGGGAGCAGGGATAGCCCCGGCCGCTCGACGGGTTGGAGGAGGGTCGGACACCGCGCCCACGCTGTGCGGCTCCGTCACTGAGCTCCGCGTGCTTCTGTCTGTTGTCCATCACCCGACGCACCTGTGGGCAGCGCGGGGCCGTGGGGCCTGGGCTAGCAGCGCCCACAGGAGGACTTGGGGCGATGGGAGGGCCTCTGCTCACCTCTCCCGGCCAGGGCTGTCCACCTGGGCCTCGCTGACGCGGGCGGTCGAGCGGCTTCCTGGCTCTACCACCATCACGGTCACTCGCGACAACCAAAGAAGTCTCTGGGCGTCCCCAGGTGCTCGCGGGGCCAGCAGCGCGGGGCCGGGCCGTGGTGTCACGTGCAGCGGGCTGACCCCACAGGTCAACCCCGCAGGTCAGAGCCTGCCGCCCTGTGCTGGATGCGCAGCAAGGGAGAGCAGACCAGACCAGAGCAAAATCACCCCACGAGATCGCAAAGACCCAGACACGCCACGAGCCCCCGCACCCGTGACGGCGGACGGTGGGACATCTGTGTAGGAAACGTCGTCGTGTAGCGTTCCATCACAAGTGTCACCCGGGACTCCCGGGCGAGAGGATCCGAAAGCGCCATTCGGAGGTGACACTTGCAGGGGGAGGCCGGAGCCGTGAACCGAAGCAGCGGCAGCATCGCAGCGGCGGGCAGTGGGGCTCCCGACCGGGCCAGGGAGGGCCTAGGGCGCACATGGTGACCCCGCTGCACCAACGGGCGGCCGGGCTGCACGAAGGTGAACGAGCGTGTGGCTCAGCGGCACCTGCCAGGTGCGTGCACGGCTTCCAGCACAGCGCAAGTGACCCAGGGACAGGGCTCTACGGGCTCCCTGGGTGGCTGTCAGCACGGTGCCCGCACCCAGGGAGACGCCCTGAACCCAGACAGCCGGAGTGGGGCCGCAGGGGCAGCCAGGTGGCACGGCAGGTGGCGGGGGTGGTGGGGCAGGTGGGGACCCAGGAGAAGAGGACGCGGCGCTGCTGGCAGGCCGGGCACCCGGGGCCTCGTGCGCGTGCTGAGGAGCCACTGCAGGGGTGACACGGACTGTGCTCGGGCGGCTCCGAGGTCCCCTGGCCTCCCGGCTGCCGGGTCTCAGACGGGGAAGCAGGTGGGTCAGGAGGATGCTTAGGACACACCGTGCGAGTAGCCGCAGCGAGGAGAGGAGGCGAGGGGCCCAGGGACGGTGTAGGCGCGGGACACGGACCTGCACAGGCTGAGGCCGCTCGCAGGCCCTGGAGGAGCGTAGGGGTTGCAGATCCACCAGCCGCTCGAGGGTCACGGCGACCCGGGCGACAGCGCGTTTGCCAGCAGAGAGAAGAGCCAGCCCGTGGGGTGTGGGGGCAGCCGCTGAGCAGTCAGGGGGGGAGAGGACCCCCCTTTCCTACATCTTACCTCAAAATGGAGCAGAGGGATAAAGGCAGCAGGAGGGAGAGATTTGGGTGCTGTTGCCACGTTCCTGCCAAAGGAGACGGGCCGCGCGCCAGGGAGACCACGCGCCAGGGAGACCGCCCGCAGCCCAGCCCGGCCCCGAGCCGCCCCAGTCTGCAGGGTGCCGCTTCTCGGCGGACGGGAGCCAGGCTCCTTCACCAAGAAGGTGCAAAGCTGAGGATGTGGGGTGCAGGGCCGGGGATGGGCCTCCTGTCGGGCAGCCCGCCTCCACCTGGGAATCCGCGTGGCCGGGGGGCCAGGGCTGACCAGGGAAGGGCGCGCCACAAGCCCAGGAGGAGCAGGGGCACGGTCTGGGCCCCCCTGGTCACACTGTGTGCCCACACGGGAGTCCATGTCCATGCTGAGTCTGCATCCATGCTGGAGCCCTGTCCACACTGGAGCCCTGTCCACACTGGAGCCCTGTCCACCTGGAGCCCTGTCCACCTGGAGACCTGTCCACGCTGGAGCCCTGTCCACACTGGAGCCCTGTCCACCTGGAGCCCTGTCCACACTGGAGCCCTGTCCACCTGGAGCCCTGTCCACCTGGAGCCCTGTCCACACTGGAGCCCTGTCCACCTGGAGCCCTGTCCACACTGGAGCCCTGTCCACCTGGAGCCCTGTCCACCTGGAGCCCTGTCCACCTGGAGCCCTGTCCACCTGGAGACCTGTCCACACTGGAGCCCTGTCCACCTGGAGCCCTGTCCACACTGGAGCCCTGTCCACCTGGAGCCCTGTCCACACTGGAGCCCTGTCCACACTGGAGCCCTGTCCACCTGGAGCCCTGTCCACCTGGAGCCCTGTCCACCTGGAGCCCTGTCCACCTGGAGCCCTGTCCACACTGGAGCCCTGTCCACCTGGAGCCCTGTCCACACTGGAGCCCTGTCCACACTGGAGCCTGTCCACACTGGAGCCTGTCCACACTGGAGCCCTGTCCACCTGGAGACCTGTCCACGCTGGAGCCCCATCCGCAGTGGAGTCCACATCCATGCTGAAGACCCGTCCACACTGGAACCCCATCCACATGGAGCCCCGTCCACAGTGAAGCCCCATCCACCTGGAGCCCTGTCCTCTCTGGAGCCCTGTCTACACTGGAGTCCACATCCACACTGGAGCCCTGTCCTCCTGGAGCCCCGTCCTCTCTGGAGGCCCGTCCACACTGGAGCCCCATCCACCTGGAGCCCCGTCCACCTGGAGCCCCGTCCACAGTGGAGTCCACGTCCATGCTAAAGACCCGTCCACCTGGAGCCCCGTCTACCTGGAGCCCCGTCCACCTGGAGCCCCGTCCACACTGCAGTCTGTGTCCATGTGTCCCGGGCGTGTCAGTAAATGGCCCAGTTTCTGGTCCTTCTGCAGAGTCCAGTTCCCTCTGTCCCGTGTGACCTCGTAGGACAGCGCGCTGGCCGGCGCTACGCCCGTACCTCCACCAGCACTTTCTGCCCCGGCTGCACGTTTTCCCACGCAGAAGTGTGAGCTTCTATTCCCAAGATTTTGAGGAAGGGAAGCGTGGCGTTGGGCGCCCTCTGTACGCCCGCAGACACGCCGAGGCCGCTACTCCGAGGTCGGGGTCGGGGTCGGGTCAGGGAGGGCTGAAGAAGGCGGGTCCCGAGAGGGCCCGGGAGGCGTGGCTGCTCCCCGGGGCTGCCCTTTCTGCACCCGCCGGCCCGCCCGTCCTCACCTGCCCGGCTCCCCAGCCTCGTCCCCCGGCCGCCGCAGCCGGGCCTCCAGGTCGTGGTCGTGGTGCCCCGGTCGGGGCCGCTGGGCTCTCAGGCCTCCGCGAGCACACGGCGGGGGTGGGGGGGGATGGTGGTGCCCAGGAGGGCCCCGCGCCGGGCTCCGTGTTCGTGGGGAGCAGCCCGGCTCCTGGAGAGCGGGGTGTCGAGCGGCGGCCGCGGGCGGGCGGACGCGTCCTGAAGCCCGGTCCCTCCCTAGTCTTTCAGGCTGCCCGAGGGCGAAGAAGAGCGGCATAAGGATAGCGCAGAGCAAGGAAGACAAGGAAGACCAGGAGCCCATCAGGTACGGGGGCGGGGGGCAGCGGGCGGCGGGAGGGTGCGGGCCCGCAGGCCGGGGAGCCAGGGAGCACGGCCTGGGACACCTGCCGCCCGCGGACGCACCGTCTACACAGCGGGCCGTGTGCCCAGCGGCTGCCACGGGCCACACTCCCCGTCCAGGTGCAGGGAGCGGCTCACGGACTGGGGGGTGGGGGCGGGTCCACGAAGGCCCCTGATGCGTCACCGCAACACTGAGAACCAGCGGTGGCCGCGTCCCGGCCTCTCAGGGGACTCCTGCACCCCCGCGGTCCGCCCAGGCGGTCGCCCGGGGCCCAGAGTCCGCGAGATGCCCCCGGCGTCGCCCGCCTGCAACGTTCGCCTCCGACTCTGGAGAAAAGTTTCCCGTGAGAACAAACTAAAAGTTCATTCAGATGAAAATTATCAAAATACCTGCGACTTAACAGAGTCCGGGGGTGACGTGAACGGCGCAGGAGCGCGTGTTTCCACAGGCCCGGGCGCCCCCCCCCCCCCAGGAGCGTCCTCGGCCGCCGCCCACTGCCAGCCCTTGCCCTCTCCTTCCCTCCGGCCGACCGAGCAGAGGCCGCCGGCGAGCGACGCCCCGACACAGCGTGTGGCTTTGCTCCCCAGGTGTCCCGTTCCCGGGTGCGACGGCCAGGGCCACATAACGGGGAAGTACGCCTCCCATCGCAGCGCGTCCGGGTGCCCCCTGGCCGCCAAGAGACAGAAGGACGGGTACCTCAATGGCTCGCAGTTCTCCTGGAAGTCCGTCAAGACGGAGGGCATGTCGTGCCCCACGCCCGGCTGCGACGGCTCGGGCCACGTCAGCGGCAGCTTCCTCACGCACCGCAGGTGAGTGGCTCCCAACCCAACCCCCCTGCTCGGAAAGAGCCACGGCGACGCTGCCGGCAAAGCCATGACCTGCCCCGCGCAGGCGGGAGACCCTAGAGCGGGTGGAGAAGCAAGTCCCAGTCCCGCCCCTGGATCAGCGGAGGCTCTCGGCAGAGAACCTGCTGGAATTGTGCGCGGGCACCCGTAGGTCATCCCCAGGCGGCACCTGGCCCGGGGTCTCACGCCGCAGCCTGGACGCGCCCGGGAGGCCAGTCATGCCCTGAACCGCTACCGCCCACGCCTCCGTGTCTGCAAGCCCCCGAGCGCCGCAGCACAGGAGGCCCGCCTGTGGCTCCCCGTGGAAGGGTCGGGGGGTGCGGGCAAATCAGAGGCCAACGAGGCGGGTTGGACATGGGGGTCCCCGGCTTCTTGGAAACCAGGCCGGCAGGAGAAACGGGGGAAGGGCACGTCCAGCGCAGGATGAACAAAGTCGCCGCAACCCCGCGTCCTAGGTGTTCGGGGACGGGGACACTGAGCCTTCCAAGGTTCCTTGAAAGGAAGGTGGCTTTTTAATTGTCAAAGAAATTCCTCAGAGGTAGGAAAGTCCGACGGGGACAGTGGGGCCCCCGGCCAGCGGCCCGGCCCAGGGGAGCCCGCAGCCCCCCAGAGGTTCCCAGCGTCCGGGCGCAGGGCCGGATCACGCTGCTAGTGCTGGACTGCCGGGCCAGGTGGGACTGGGGCCCCACTGTCCCCGTGGAAGCCTCCCTGGTTGGCCCCGGAGGTCCCCGGACGTGACCCGCCTCCTGGCCAGCAGGAGGGCCCCCGGCTGTGCCTGACGAGCCTGAGGCTTGGGGGTGGGCGCCGCGCTCCTGCCCACACAGGCCTGGGGGTGACGTGTCGGGGCACTCGGAGGTCGTGGGGGTCAGGGCCCTCCGGGCGGAGGACAGCCGTCGGGGGCTTCACTTGCCCGCAGGAGCGGCGAACGGCCGCCTTTCGCCAGCCGGGCCGGAGCAGGGCCACGGAGGCGCCCGCGGGCAGCTGTCCTGAGCGCACGGGGCTCGGCGTGGCCCCGCTGCCGGAGGGTGGGCTGCGCAGGAGGGACACAGGCGGGCGCGGGCGGAGGGCGTGGAGGGCGCCGTGCATGGAGCCCCCGCACTCCCGCCGTCTGTCCTGTGCAGGGGCCCCGCTCAGTGACCGTGGGCAGCGCCGACCCTCCACCCCAGAACTTCGCCGTCTGCCCAGGCTGACGCGGTGTCTGTGGGAACCCTCGCTGCCCGCGCCTTCCCCCTGCCTGGTGCCCACCACCCACTCTCTCTTCCACAAGTCCCCTCCCACAGGGACCCCGCCCGACGAGCCCTGAGCCTGGGGTCCTCCAGGGGCCCTGTGTGGCAGGTGTCAGACGTGCCCCCCGCAAGGCTGAACCACGTCCTCCTGTTCTCATTTATGCTGCTGGGCGGGCAAAACTGATTCCCTGAAGGCGTGAGAGCAGACGCCGGGCGGCGAGCACCTGGCCGAGCACCCAGCCAAGCCCCCGACCAAGCACCCAAACAAGCACCCAGCAAGCACCCGGCCAAGCCCCTGGCCAAGCACCCAGTAAGCACCCAGCCAAGCCCCCAGCCAAGTACCCAATGAGCACTCAGCCAAGCACCCAGCAAGCACCCAGCCAAGCCCCCGGCTAAGCCCCCAGCCAAGCACCTGGCCAAGCCCCCAGCCAAGCACCCACCAAGCCCCTGGCCAAGTCCCTGGCCAGGCACCCAGCCAAGCACCCACCAAGCACCCAGCCAAGCACCCGCCAAGCCCCCACCAAGCCCCTGGCCAAGCACCCAGCCAAGCACCTACCAAGCACCCAGCCAAGCACCCAGCCAAGCACCCAGCAAGCTCGCCCACACCCGTGCCTGGGGTTGGTGGCCCTGCTGTGAGGAGCGACTGGCCGCCCCACAGCCAAAGGCCTCGGTCAGGAGGGGCCCACAGACAGCCCCGCTGTGGCCCGGCCCCCTGTGCTGTGAACACAAAGTGGGTTTAGAATCAAAGGGAAGCCTCCGCTGACACAGGAAGTTCCTGTTATTCGTCTTTTCCCCCCAAAGTGTGAGAGCCTTGGGAGGCGGGAAAGGACCGAGGGTCATGGCGCCAGGTCGTAAACGGTAGATGAAACCACTTCGTCTGTTTTGTTCCGGGGGGGGGGGGTCAGCGGGACTCCAGTCGGGGTCCTGAGCGGAGCCGCCGAAAAGGACGTGGAAAAGGTCCTATTGCGTCTCTAGGGCGGGCTGGCTCTCCCTAAAGAAGCAATGGTGAAAATGAAAACCAAGTCATTCAAAACCAATTTTTTCCCCCATATAAATCCGGCAAATCCCTCTGGGATACGCTGCTAACACCCCAGACAGGAGGAAAGTAAGATCCTTCGCTTTCTGACGATGCGGCACGTTTTTAAGACTCACGGCCTCCACGATTCGGGAACACGTCCCAAGAATTCGGGAGCGAGCGGCTGTCCCCACCGCTGCCCCCCCTTCGAGTCCCCGAAGCAGCGGCAGTGAGGCCCATGGAGGGCCCCCCTGGGGCTGTGTGGAGGGTTCCAGAAGGTCCAGTCGGGGAAGCAAGGCAAGGGGACCGGGACCGAAAGTGGCCTGAGATAGGGCAGAGGGCAGAGGGCAGGTGTCGCAGGGGCGAGCGACACGGCTGCTGCAGGAGGAGGAGACGCGGGTGCGGCCAGTACCTCCCAAGGGCTCGGGCGGTGCAGCCTCAGGGACGCAGAGCCCACGTGCCGCCAGGGAGGAAAGAGCGGGGACAGAGGGGACAGAGCCGGGCGGCCCGGCAGGCGGAGCTCGGGCGAGGGCAGGGCCCGGCGGGAGTCCGGGGGGCAGGCGGGTGGCCGGGGAAGCTGCTGCAGAGAGGGGCTGAGCGGGCAGGACAGGCCCGGGGCCCCCAGGACCCCAGGACCGCCCCCGCCGCCCCGGGGGAGCACGCAGTGGGCTCCCCCCTCGCAGCCAGGGGGTGCAGGAGGGCCACGCAGACCGCAGCCCGGCACAGCCCTGGGGAGACGCCGGACACAGGGGTCCCTAGAGGGGGTGCGGGCGGCCGGCTGGCAGTCGCGCCCCGAGGCCGTGACCTGGCTGTGGGGGGCCGGACCATCCCTCCCCTCCCACCCTCCTCACCCGCACTCCTCGCCCCTGCGCCTTCCTGTTCCTGGAACACGCCTCCCTCCATGTGCCCCTCGGCCCGGAGAGGCCTCCTCGTCCTTCAACAGGCCGCACCCTGGGGCGAGCACCGCCACCTGCGCCGACCCTGAGTCGCCCTCAGGTCCCGGGACACGGGTACCACAGTATTCCCAGCTCGAGACCAGAGGCGGCTGCGCGGGGCTCGTGGGCAGAGGCAGAGCAGGACTCACACCCAGGCCCCCCGCATGTCGTCCCAGCGGCGTCTGGCCCGGTCCCTGTCCCGGCCGCCCCCTCTTGCCCCACTGCAGTCCGGGCGGCGTCTGGCCCGGACCGTTCGCCGCAGACCCAGCGCCTCACTGCGCCTGGCGCCGGCACCTAGGAGACGCCTCCTGCCCCGTGCAGGGTGCAGGGTGCAGGGTGCGGGGTGCAGGGCGCCAGGAAAGCCCGGGGTCTGCTGCAGACAGACGGTCACAGGCCTGGGGCGCGCCGGGGGATGTCGTCTGCGCTCGCCCCGCTGCTCCGAGTGCCCAGGTGCTCCCACCGCCTCCATCTCCTCCACCCCAGGACACGAGGAACAGGCCGCAAACCAGAGCCACTAGGTCTAACCCTGCAAGGTCACCAAGTATCTTAGAACGAAGCCTTCTCCTTCACTGGGCTGGACCAAAGAGACATTTTTTTTTTTTTTTTTCACAAAGATCACGTCCTAGTCCCTCTAAAACGTTTGCACCCGGACCCTAGGACCCGATTTACTTTATTCCCAGCTTCCTCGCAGTTCACAAACGGGAGAGCCCGTCCTCGAATGTTTATTTTGCTTGACACTTGCCAAGAGAATCACGTTAAAAATAAGCCACCAGCCTGAGAGCTTACTCCGCGGGTTACTCTTATGATCCATCTTCTCCTGCAAGGCTCTGCAGGAGCACCTTCCCTCCCCGGCACCCCCAGGGGACCCAGGGCAGCATCACCAGGTGCAAGGGACGCTGGGAGATGTAGTCTTCCCAAGGGATGCTGGGAGGCGTAGTCCCTCAAGGGGCACTGGGAGGCGTAGTCCACCTTGGGGATGTTGGGGAGACGGGGTCTTTGTGAGCCCAAGCAGAGGAAGGCTCTGTGCTACCCCGTTTCCGCTGGATGTTAAGAAGCCACTGGTTATTTTTACAAACATACGTCACTGAACCACAGCGCCCTGAGATCCGCATGGTCCCGATTTCAGAGACCAGAAAACCAACAGCAAGAAGGTGAGACTCTCTCCCGTGGGCACTCGGCCTTAAGGAGAGAAGTCTGTCTGGTGGGTGTCACCCGTGGCCCCCTGCGTGCACCTGAGGGACCCACCCCTGGATGCTCACAGCACGGGCATCACCTGTGAACCGCTGCGTGCACCTGCAGGACCTGGCCCGGGATGCTCACAGCACGGGCGTCACCGTGGACCTCTGCGTGCACCTGCGAGAATGGCCCGGGATGCTCACAGCACGGGAGAAACCTGTGGACCTCTGCATGCACCTGTGGGCCCGGGATGCTCACAGCACAGGGACTCGGGGAGGCCTCGGGAAGAGCACTGCGGCCCACTCGCCTACTAGGCTTCCTCTGGGCCTCTTGGGTGGTGGAGGTGGGGGGAGGTCCCCTGCTCTTGTCCAGGCAGAGGGGAAGCAGCGGGGGGGGGGGGGGGGCAGACCTCTCCTGCCCAGCTGGAACAGCCCTGCCCTTGGCCCCCCATGGAGACGTCCTCCGCCTCTGCGGGGGGTCCTCTCACAGCTGGGAGCGCGCCCCTCCCTCCGAGGCCACCTGCACACCCAGAGGACCCGCCCAGAGGGCCCTCAGGGAGCTCCCAGGTACTCTCTCAAGACCTGTGATGACAAATCCAAATTCCACAGCTTC